GCGTCTATATCGGGGTTGGGTGCAGTGCTTATGCAGAGAGGGCACGTAATAACATACGCATCGAGGCAGTTGAAGCCTCATGAGACGAGGTATCCCACCCACGATTTGGAGTTGGGGGCGGTGGTGTTTGCCCTCAAGATATGGCGCCATTATTTGTATGGGGTTAGGTGTACCATATACACGGACCACAATAGTTTGAAGTATTTGATGGATCAGCCCAACCTGAATATGCGCCAGAGGAGATGGTTGGATGTGGTAAAGGATTACGATTGTGAGATCCTGTACCACCCGGGCAAAGCTAATGTTGTAGCTGATGCCCTGAGCCGTAGGGCGGAGAGTGCCCCGATTCGAGACACTTGTATGCGGCTGACAATGATGACTCCGGGGTTGGATACCATTCGGGAGGCCCAGACAGAGGCCGTGAGACCGGAGAACCGCAAGAGAGAGCGGGTGATTGGACAGGTACCTGAGTTCGTTACCGATAGCCGTGGGCTTATGACCTTTCAGGGTCGGATTTGGGTGTCGTATGCAGGCGGTTCGCGCACCACTTTGATGGAGGAGGCGCACCGATCGAGGTTCTCGATCCATCTCGGGGCCACTAAGATGTATTTGGATCTGAAGAAAGATTACTGGTAGCCCTGTATGAAGAGGGATGTAGCATGGTTTGTTGAGAGGTGCTTGACCTGTCGCAGGGTTAAAGCTGAGCACCTGCGTCCGCACGGCAAGTTGCAGCCACTCGAGATTCCCCAGTGGAAGTGGGAACAGATTTCCATGGATTTTATCACCAAATTGCCAAGGACCGCGAGGGGTGTCGATGCGATTTGGGTGATTGTCGACCGGCCGACGAAGAACGCTCACTTCCTTGCTATCAGTGAGAGCTCTTCTGCAGAGAGATTGGCAGAGTTGTATGTGCGGGAAGTGGTATCGCGACACGGTGTAACGATCTCGATTGTGTCAGACCGAGATGTGCGTTTCACTTCCAAGTTCTGGAAGAAGTTCCATGAGGAGTTGGGTACGAGGCTGCATTTCAGCACCGCTTATCACCCACAGACGGACGGTCAGAGCGAGCAGACGATTCAGACGCTCGAGGACATGCTCCGAGCATGTGTGTTGGACTTCGGGGGAAGTTGGGACACGTATATGCCGTTGGCTGAGTTTTCTTATAACAACAACCACCATTCGAGTATTGGTATGCCTCCCTTCGAGTTGTTATACGGGAGGAGATGTCGGACTCCCATTTGCTGGGGAGAGGTAGGACAGCGCGTGATGGGCAGTACTGAGATAGTGCTTTAGACGACCGAGCAGATACAACAGGTTAGACAGAGGTTGTTGACGGCTCAGAGTCGCCAGAAGAGTTATGCGGATAGGCGACGATCCGAGCTTGAGTTCCAGGTGGGAGACTTCGTACTCCTGAAAGTGTCTCCTTGGAAAGGAGTGATTCGATTCAGGAAGAGGGGCAAGCTGGGGCCCCGGTATATTGGGCCGTTCAGGGTGACCGCGAGGGTGGGCAGGGTAGCATATCGGTTGGAGCTACCTGCGGAGTTGAGCCAGATTCATGACACCTTCCACGTGTCTCAGTTGAGGAAGTGTATAGCCGACGAGTCGGTGGTGGTGCCACTGGAAGATATTCAGCTGAATGCGAACCTGAATTATGTTGAGAGGCCAGTTGCGATTGTGGATCGGAAGATCAAGGTTCTGAGGAACAAGGAGGTGCCCCTGGTGCAGGTCCAGTGGCAACATCGGAGAGGGTCCGAGCTGGAAGGCGCCGGCATGATCAGTACACACACGAGGAGTATTTTTATACATTATGATCTTGGGGATGTGTTTCTATGGATTGATATGTGATACAATGAGATTTTTATAATATCTATGAATGAAAGTATGCTTTTAAAAATGTGAAAAATTGTTTGAAAAATTACGGTGTTACATTGCGTGTCATTAAATGTCTATATTCTAGTTGGTACCAATCACATAATGATAAAATCGTACAAAAGCTAACTGCAGATCAACCACCTGACACATCGGTGTGGTTGAACTTTGTCTCCTACATGCGGTACTGTAGAGTAAGACAAATTACATCAAGACAAAAATGTTGGATTAAGGTGTCTAAGCTCATAACTAAATTAGTATATACTTGTAATTGGAAGCATAGTCCTTTTGGGTTGCCTTCATAACTAGAACTTCGTTAGAATGAAATTTGTAGAAAGAGAATAAACTTATTAGTTTATTATATGATTAATAAATTGTTTGTTAATATATATTATATGATTAATATATTAATTTGAAAATAGATAGTTGATTTGTTAATTTTATAATGTGATTAATAAATTAATATGTTATATGATTAATAAATTAATATGAAAATCAATAAGACTTAATTAATTATTAATTAGAATTAATCTTGAATTAATTCAGGATTAATTGAAATTAATTAAAGGTGCAAGGGCTGAATTGTGATTGTTCATAGTTGAGCAATGAAAGGCAATTCTAGATGGTTCCACATGGTGGACGGTTTTTATAGAGCTTTTTGGGTTTTCGGAAACCTCCTGAAGATGATAAGGATAACTAACTTGAATAGTTATATCTAAATATTTTAGTATTCAAATTAGGGTTTATCCTTGAGATCCCCTAGCTATAAATATCTTCCCTTGGGCATCAAATTTCATGGTTCTCACTTCCAACAGGGTTATACATGAAATTTTCTTGCTCATCCTCTCTCTTCTGTTGTCTTCTAGTTCTAGGGTTTGGGTGTGATCCATTAGAGGTATCATCGTTTTTGTGCTAAGCTTTCCAATATCAATAACTACAAGGGATTGAAGTGATTTGTTCACTACACAAATCAAAAGGTATGTAACCCTAACTTGGTGTTTTGATTATATTAGGGTTCATGTTAGTTTTTTTGTTCAAAGTATGTTGTCTTTAAAGTGTTATGACATATATCATTTAGGTTGCATGTACCCTTATGTGTTAAGTGAAATTCCGCAAGCACATTGTTTTTGTAACCTATAAAACTCATCAAAAACAATACTAAACTACAATCATTCAGTCTTTGCTTCACTTCGGAAAGTCCACCAGCTCGGATAACTTCATTATCCCACATCACTCCACTCTACACTTCATCGAAAAAACAATTATATTGGAACTTGGAAATTCGGATTGCCAAAGGATCACTTGTTTTGAACAAACAGTAACTTTATTGCTTCAACTATTAGTTTCAATCATCGGTTATCTGATCGTTATCTGACTTGATCCCCAAGTCACGTAGTATAGACTATTGAAAACTTGACCGCTGACATTTAAACCTGCCGAAATCCTAATTTATCTTGAGAGCCTTTAGATCAACTTCTAAAAAAAAGTTGTCTAAATGATTTGCTAACTCATCTTATTTCAAATTTTTATTAAGTTAACACATATCAACCTAAACTCATATTTTTAGTTACCATTTACCAAGCCGCTCTATTTGTTCATTTTGTCAAATTTGTATTCTGACAAAGAGTTGTCTAAAATGATTTGCGAACTCATCTTATTTCAAATTTTATTAAGTTAAACACATATCAACCCAAAGTCATATTTTTAGTTACCATTTACCAAGCCGTTCTATTTGTCCATTTTGTCAAATTTGTGTTCTAACAAAAAGTTATCTAAAATGATTTGCTAACTCGTCTTATTTCATATTTTTAGTTACCATTTACCAAGCCGTTCTATTTGTCCATTTTGTCAAATTTGTGTTCTAACAAAAAGTTATCTAAAATGATTTGCTAACTCGTCTTATTTCAAATTTTTTATTAAGTTAACACATATCAACCCAAACTCATATTTTTAGTTACCATTTACCAAGCCGCTCTGTTTATCCATTTTGTCAAATTTGTGTTCAAACAAAAACTATATATTAAAAAAACCCTACCATTTTATCCCTATTCAACTAAAGTTGGTTGCCCATTTGAGATTTGAGCATATATGAAAAGGTTCCCATTTGCACCCCAAATTGATGGAGGTAGGTCCCACAGAGTAACAAAGGAAACAACATAAAGTTATTGCTTGCTACAAACACAAACTAATGTGTGGTGTATCCCATTAAGTTATAGTGCACAGCTCTTTTATGAGGTTTCCGACATGCACCTACCCTTTATGGCTAAATTTGTGATTACGAACCAACAATCCCCCGACACACATATATTATCCCTCCCTCGACCCAAGTTGCCCTTGTAACTTGAACATGATGTGAAAGCGTTGTTTGTGTAGTATATAGCACATTAGCACCTCCTTTTTTAGTAATCTTAGTTATATATATATATATATATATATATATATATATATATATATATATATATATATATCTATATATAACCTTAAAAACTATTATGCTACAAACAAAATTTAATATATATAACCTCCTTTTTTAGTAATCTTAGTTATTAAAATTTAGTAATTTTTAGTAATCTTAATATATTAAAATTTAGTAATCTTTTTTAGTAAATATTAGTTACATTATGTTTAATATCAAAGTTTTAACGAAACACGCCAAAAATAAAGATCATCCTCTATAAGCCCTCTCTATATAACCTTAAAAACTATTATGCAATAATACAGAAGGAAGTCCTCTCCGAAGACCTTTTTTTCTCTACACTTCCATCCTATGTGAAGTCTCCTATGAAAATTAATATTAAATCCAAAAAAAAAAACATAAGTTGCTTCAAATAATATAAAAAAACTCCAAAATGAAGCTGAAGGAAGTAGAGCAATGTTAGAGTTATGTAATTAAGTAATTGTCAACAGTAAAGTAACAAGTTTTTCTGGGATAACATTTGATCTGCATGCTTTCTTGTTCGGGCAGCTTCTCTTTCTTGACCGGGTGCGGGTCTATAAGGATCGTAAGTACTGGATGCTTTGTTGCTAGTCTGATTCCATTTAATTTATGAGCAAAATGCAAGAAAGAGAATATGATACCTCAACGCAATCCAAATATCTCTTCTGGGGGGTAATCATAAGGAAAAATCTCCTCAAAGTCTTGTTTTGACTTTATTCCTCAATAGGATTAAGGGATGTCGGAGAAGCCCCTTGAGTAGGATTCTAAATGGCAACTCATCTGGTGGGTCGGGAGACTGTTTCATGTCTTCATAGATGTTCATAGCATCATCAGTAGATCCAAATCTGAAAAACCCACGAATCACTTCTATGTATGTTTGAGAATCATGATATAAATTAATTTCCTTTTTCATGCTTTCCCATAGCTTCATTGCCTCCTCCATTTTTTTAGATAAAGCAATAATCAAGTCTTTGTATAGATATACATCGGGCTCATACCAGTCTTGCTTTTGAATCACCCAAAACATCTGGAAATTCAATAAATAAATATTTGGAAAACAAACAAGACAACTAAAGGTCTGTGTTTGGTTATGGTATCATGAAATGGAATCACAAAGGAATGGGATGAACACCGTAGGAATCAGCAAGGTAATGGAATGGATTATTACATTCCATTGTCATGTTTGGTTGGCTTGAAGGAACATAATGAGTCATTCAAACAAGTTGTTTGTTACTTATAATTAGAAAACTACATAAAGCTAAATCGATAAATAAAGAAAAATATGTTGTTCAATAAAAATACACTTGTATCAAATATATATCATTAAATAAACTGTATATATACTGGTATTGGAAGTAACAATAATTTTTTTGTTGGAAATGGAGTTGGAAATGGTGTTGATTGTGTGATTGAATGCTAATGGTGATGTAGTGCAAGAAGAATAAGAAGAGATGTAGTGTTTCAAAATGGGTATTCTCATTATGTCATGATGGAGCAATGAGGAAACAGATAACCTTAGTTTTGACCTCAATGAACCAACACCTGCTGCCATTTGATCGCTGAGCAAACCAACACCTGCTGTCCAAAAGGCAATATTTCCCATCAGAATGTTATCTTATTTAAATTATACCAAAACAAGAAAAATATTGTTTTCAATCAAAATTATTCTGATCCTGTTCTTGTTTTACAAAAAGTAGACGCTATTTAATATAAAAAAGTAGACCTGCCATTGCTTAAAGAATAGATGTTATAAAGAACAGATGGATCGATTTTTATTTGTAAAATTAAGAAAGATCAAGATGCTGTACCTGAGTGAGGTGTGCACGCATAGTCGGAGATACTGTGTCCGTGTGTCTCTGACGGAGGGGGAGGAAAGGGATCGATGCTTCAAAAAGTTCAAATCTTCATTGTAGCAGGAACCTGGGGAGTTTGAGTTGGGATGAGCGAACTGATGAGAGAAAGTGTGACGCAATACTTTCAAGTTTCAGCCCTTGCCAAAAAGAAAGCCTTTAATCATTAGAATTTGCTTTCAAATATCCATATTTTAAGAACTAAAAATACCTTTTTTTATTAATAAGACGCAGACCCGAGTTCAGATACCCGACGGGTATCAAGCGGGTAATGTCTCTTGCATTGATGGCAAGCCATTAGCCAAAGCTAGTCTCCCCGGGAGTGTGGCTTGTTATTTCCAAGCTAAACAAAGATATGAAACATTGGGGAATTAACTTGGAAGACTTGTTTGTAAAGCGTTTTGGAGCGGGAAATAGAACCTACTTTGGGAAGGACAAATGGTGTGACGGTTTAGTGTTGAAAGATGTTTTTCCGGAACTTTATCGCATTGAAGTGCAGAAAAATTGCATGGTTAGTAACAAAATTCAAAACAGAGGTCTAGATGGAATTCATGGGCAGTGGTCAAGAAATCTAAGGAGAGGAAGAGAGGCAACAACTTTATCAGATTTAAACAACAAAGTTGTTGGTGTGGTGTTGACAAGCATAGATGATTCGTGGGTTTGGAAAGGTAACGAGACGGGTGGTTTTACAGTTCAAAATTTGCGGAACTTGATGGCTACTGCGGAAGAGGTCTCAAACTCGTTTCCTTTTCATTGGGAGGGTTGGGCTCCTCTAAAACTGAATTGTTTTGTTTGGCGTTTATGTTTAAATAGGATCCCAGTTGCCGATAACCTTCTTGTTAGAGGTGTGACTTTGCCATCGTATTTTTTCCCGCTCTGTGGTATTGAACAGGAAGATGTCGAGCATCTGTTTTTTAAGTGTAGTTTTGCAAAAAAGGTTTGGAGCTGGTTCTGTCACTGGTCGATGTTATTGAAATTTGCTCCTATGAACGTTTCTGACATGTTGGGGTTGTAAAGACATTGGTGTTGAATAAGAAAAGGAAGAGATTGTTATGGGCCCTCATATATTCGGTTTTATGGAGCATATGGAAGACTAGAAATGTTTTAATTTTCAAAAGGTTCAGGAGCAGCCCAATGAAGACAGCCGATGATATCCAGTTAATCTCTTTCAATTGGTTGAAATATAGAGGGAGGTTTAGTTCTTTAAATTGGTTTGACTGGTGTAATTCTTCTGTTTCCCTTGTTTGTATGTTGTAACTTGTCTAGCGTCTCGCTAATTTCGTTTTAATGTGATTCCGCTGTTCAAAAAAAAACTGAAATTGTTTATTGGTGGTTCCCACTTTTAGGAACAGGAACCGGAACCGGACCAGTGAACTTGGTTCCGGTTCCGGTTTCGAAACCCATACTTTTTATGTTGATTCGGTTCCAAAAGTGAGTATCAGCTACCCGTGCTCACCGTTGTAAAAGGTATAATTTATATATTAATGATTAAAATTTAAAACATATTTATTATTGGTTTTAGTAAAAGATTTGCCTTTGAAAATACTTTAAAGACTTATTTTATTTATTTATGTAAAGAGCATGGACTTATCCATCATGTCATTTCAAAGAATGGGAAAATGACTTATTAAGCTAATTAACTTTTCGGTATGTTCACATCTAGGTAACTATCTTTGTTTTGTACACATCTAAGTAACAAACTTGTTGGAAGTGTTCACATATGACCATTATGACTTGCTATAGCAGGTTAAATCCTAGATGTGAACACTTTCAACAAGTTCGTTACCTAGATGTATACAAAAAAAATAGTTACCCAAATATAAACCAAACGAAAAGTAAAAATAAATTACACAAATGGTCCTTATGGTTTGGGAGAATTTGTGTTTTTGGTCCCTAACTTAACTTTTTAACTCGGATGGTCCCTACTGTTTATTTGTGTTACGTGTTTGGTCTCTGTCTTACCTAAAAAGACTATTTTGCCCTTATTAATTTATTTTTTAATTAATTTTCTTATTTATGTATTTATTTTTTATATATTTAAAAAAATTAATAAACCACACATATCTGTATCTCCTCACCATAAACCTCAAACCTCAAACCACATTTGAGAAATTTAATTCGGATGGTCCCTACTGTTTATTTTTGTTGCGCGTTTGGTCCATGTCTTACCTAAAAAGACTATTGTGCCCTTATTAATTTATTTTTTAATTAATTTTCTTATTTATGTATTTATTTTTTATATATTTTAAAAAATTAATAGACCCCACATATCTGTATCTCCTCACCGTAAACCTGAAACCACATTTGAGAAATTTAATTTGGGTCTTACCGGTCACCATCTCATCTCTCATCCTCCCCAACTTCTATTTCTTTTCCATCTTTAGTAACATCGACGTCTTCACCGTCCTTCTTTTTTTGGTACTTCAACTCTGGCGAACCAACACCATAACCTACTGTCTCTTTATTTTTAGTGGGTTGTGGTGTTGATTCGACGGAATTGAAGGACCGAAAAAAAAAGGGATGATGAAGACGTCGATATCACTAAAGATGGAAAATAAATAAAAGTTGAGGATGATGAGAGATGGGATGGTGAGGAGATACAGATATGTGGGGTCTACTAATTTTTCTTAAATATATAAAGAATAAATACATAAACAAGAAAATTAATTAATAAGGGCATAATAGTGTTTTTAGGTAAGACAGAGACCAAGCTCGTAACAAAATTAAACAGTAGGGATCATCCGAGTTAAAAAACTAAATTAATTAAAAAATAAACAGTAGGGGTCATCCGAGGAGATACAAATATGTGGGGTCTATTAATTATTTTAAATATGTAAAAAATAAATACATAAAAAAGAAAATTAATTAAAAATAAATTAATAAGGACACAATAGTCTTTTTAGGTAAGACAATGACCAAACGCGCAACAAAAATAAACAGTAGAGACCATCCAAGTTAAAAAAATAAGTTAGGGACCAAAAACACAAATTCCCCCAAACCACAGGGACCATTCGTGTAATTTAATTTTACTTTTCGGTTTTGTTCATATTTGGGTAACTATTTTTTTTGTACACATTTAGGTAACGAACTTGTTGAAAATGTTCACATCTAGGATTTAACCTGTTATAGCAGGTCATAATGGTCATATGTGAACACTTCCAACAAGTTTGTTACCTAGATGTGTACAAAAAAAAGATAGTTACCCAGATGTGAACATACCGAAAAGTTAATTACCTTAATAAGTCATTTTCCCTCAAAGAATCTATTATCTAACCATGGTGGGATATATAATATTTTTCGGATGGACACTTCAAGATAAAAAAAATGTTAAAAATTCTTATATAAGGTGCTAAATATGTATATTTCATGAAGTTTTTTTTATCAACTTTACTAATTTCTTGAGATAATTCGGGGAATATGCCATAAAATAGCACCAATAGTCATGTATTTGTTCTTTTAAATCGTTAATATCTAACTTAACTTATCAATAGTTTTTATTCAATTTTATTATCATATTGACTTCGTCTTTTACCGGTGATAATTTGTTATGTAAACTCCATGTCACTGGTTATGTTCATGTAGTTGATGCTATAATAACACCAAAAAAATTCGTTACTCAATTAGATACAATTAAAAGCTTAATAACTTAAATAATAAATAAATTGTTATTGATTCATAATATTTTCTATTAAAATAAATAGTTGGTCAAAAAAATATTACATCTTTATCATAAAATAAAAATAAAAATTACTAGCTTGAAATTGACATAAGATGCAGAAAAAACTAACAAACATATGCACACATTGTCCGACTATGTTGTCATTTTAGAGTAAATTACTCGTTGAATGATAGCAAACATTTATCGGTTTGAGGAAAAGATGGCTATGTTTTTTATGATGATCGGTCGTAACCAACGTTACGTGATTATCAAACGGATATTTCAACACTCAAAGCAAACAATTCATAAATTTTTTCATGAAGTGTTTGACAAAATGATGTTTTTCGCAAAAAACGTTATAGTACCAACTTCTTTTAATCTGAATCTCAACATTCTGAGACATAATAAGAGGCTACGACGGGTTTTCAAATGAGCAGTTGGTACACTTGATGACATTTTGATACATGTTGTTGTCCCTGCTAAGAAACAAAAGTTATATAGAGATAGGGAAAAGACGATTATTACCAAAACGTATTGGCAGTTTATGACTTCAACATGATTTTTACTGTTCTTGTGGCTGGTTGGGAAGGGGTAGTACATGATTCTAGAATATTATCAGAAGCATTAACAAACCCACATGCACCATTCTTGTTTCCACCATTACATAAGTTTATGGTTATTTAAATAGTTTTATCTTATTTTGAAATTTGATTAATTTTTTTGCATTTTTACAGATAAATATTATCTTTGTGACACCGCATATGCACACACTCGAGGATTTATGACCCCGTATCGTAATGTGAGGTATTGGCTAGGAGATTTTCGTCATAACCAAGAATCACAGAGTCATCAAGCAAACACAGGCATGACTGACAATTGTCACGAAGTCAACCATCATACTACAACATAAACTAGTGGGCCGACATTGGTGCCTTCGACCCACATATACAATGAAGGAAGCTCACCTGATACTGAAGACAACTAAATCTCGCACCCGAACTGTCGGAATTGGACTCCGCCTAATAACACAATAGCTAACCCTAATTAATAATTAAGGTCCATTATTCAACTCGCGAGTCCAAGGCCCACAACTAAACCCCTTAAGGGAAAAAAGACCATTTTGCCCCTCCTATGGTCCAAAACCCTAAATCTTAACCAAAAGTCAATAAAAGTCAACTGCCCAGCGCGTATATTGGGCGTACTCTCTTCCTACGTGGGGCGTACTCCAAAAACCGGCGGGATCGGGGTCTCACCTGGCTACGTTGGGCGTAGCCAGAAGTATGTGGGGCGTACTTCGTCTGACCCCAAAAACCATACCAAAATGGTCTTTATCATTAAGACATGCATCCAAACACAGATCTGACCTTCTTAGAACGTCTTAATCCATAAAGTCTAAAACTTTAAGCCTTTGCATGGCTGAAAAGGGCTTGGACCTTAAAACTCTAACTTAATCCACACTCATCACCACCAAACTCTTGCATGGCTAGAAAGGGACCATCAAGCAACCATTTTTATGAATCTACAAGACCTAACATGCGTGAAAGGACAACTAATATGCTCTGGAGCGTCCCAAACTCATAAAGGACCAAACTTTGGGACAAAAAGCTCATAAAACACATCTATGGAGATAAAAAAGGAAACACATCAAGGTATAGACTTTATACCTTCAAAATATGCACAAGGAGGAGTGGTTTATGGATCTATAAGCTTGCAAGCAACACCTCTTTCTTCAATGGTATTATTCTTCAACAAATAAGCACCAAAAGTCACTAATAAGCTCCAAACTTTCACAAACAAGGCTTAAACTTGAGATTAGGGTTTTTGAGGGAAGGTGGCTGATAATGAATGTCCAAGGGAGGCATAAGGTGGTTTAAATAGGGGAGAAAACCCTTAAAATTAGGGTTTTGAGGCTGAGTTAGTACACCCGTCGTACCTCACGTACACCCAACGTACTAGCAGGGCTTCCGCGATCAGATCACATGAGTACGCTGCGCGTACCCACATGTACGCCCAGCGTACGAGATGAAAAGCGAAACTCAACTAAATGTGACCAAAATGTGCAAACTCAAATAGGTTAAGGGATAAAATGGAGATACCTGATAATTGGATGCTACACAAACAACACCTAAGTTAGTTATAAACATTTGGAAGAAAATAGGGCTTTAATATATATATATATATATATATATATATATAATATATATATATATATATATATAAACTTGTATAGTACAAATTAGTGATGATGAAAGATGAAGGGTATGTAATGCATCATACCATGAGCAACTTAAGACATTGTTGGCACCGAAAACTTTGTGAACATAAGCAAACTTTTGGGGTTTGTGAAGGGAGAAATAGGATGAAAAGGGGGCATTCTTAAACACATATATGACATAAAAGCCTACACGCATTCGTAGATATCTCTTCTTGAATATCACGAACTTGAATACCCACAGTATCAATACATCGTTTAATATGAAATTTGTATATAGGTCCAAAACCCTTAATTTCTTTTAACTATCTGTCACTAAGTTAAATACCCATACTACCATAGTTTATTCAAAATGAGTAAAAGTTTTTCATGATAATCTAAAAATTATAAGTTTGTATGTTGTGTATATATGTGTACACATATGTTTGTTAGGTTATATTTTAATATTATGTCAGTTTCCAACCGGTAAAAGTTTCTTGATAATAAAGAGATAATCTTTTTATAGCCGATTGTTTGTCTATATGAAAAATGGCAACCAATAACATGTTTTTGCACTTTAAGTCGCTAAGCTTTTAATTTTATCAAATTGGCCAACAAGCTCCTTTTTGGTTTTATTATATCATTGATTACATGGATATAACATGTGACGTAGAGTCCATGTAGACAGGGAACAAGTAATCATCAGTAAAAGATGAAGTCGATGGTATAATCAAACCAAAAATATATCGTTGGTCAATCAGATACAATTAGAAGTTTAGTGACTTAGAGAGAATAAGATGTTACTGATGGCCATTTTATGATATTTTCTTGATAATTTGTCAGGTGAGTGGACAAATCATTTTCCAAGAACTTCGTTGGTTCATATATATATACAAATTTTATCATACATTGTCAAATGGTAGCAGTTGAGTTGTATATTAATCAAAACTTAAGACATGTTTGGGCCACTTGCAATAGTTTTGTTAGTATAGAGGCTCACTTTCTCAAGACGTAATCAACTCTACTATCTTGATTATACTATATTTAATACTATACAAACATCTTGGCGTTGTCCAAAATAATTTTATATAGTTAAAAGTTTGGCAAATATATATTGATAATAATAATGAGGTTAAGATTATCTATTAGATAATAATTGTTGTATTAAGTTGATATATAAAATTGTAGTTATTTTGAAACATATTAAAAGATAAAATATCTAATATAACCATATCATTTAATGGTCTCTACTTCAATATTTGCAAAGGATTGAACTTTCTGAGCTTTTCTAGCTTGTCTTTCCTTTTTGGTATCTGTGCATTTAACAACCCTAATACACACAAAATACGTAACAAAATCACAACTACACAAACCAACGGCAGTTATACAATCCAAATAGAAATACAAAGATCCTAAAGTCTTTTTTACCAATATGAGCAAAATACTTTAGTTTTTACTCATAATAGCAGCATACTTTCATTTCTCTATTAATAATGGCAATGTACTATAATCTAATTCGGGTGCTTCAACTACTAGTTTCAATAATCAGTTATCCGATCATTATCTGCCTTGATCCCCAAGCGACATAGTATAGACGATTGAAAACTTGATCGCTATCGTTTGAAGTTTGAACCCGCCAAAACCCGAATTTAGCTTGAGAGCCCTTAGATTAGCTTCTAAAAAATGGCGTCTAAAGTGATTTGATAGCTCATCTTATTTCAAAAATTCTACCAACGATATTATTTTCATAATAACTCATATGCTGAAGTTAACCCATATCAATCCAGACTTATATTTACTTGTTACCATTTTCTAAGCCGTTGGTGGATATGTCATTTGTCAAATTTGTTTTCTAACAAACACTGAAAAGACCACCATTTAATCCATATTTAAGTCGTTGCCCATTTGAAAAGGGTCCCGGTCCCATTTGCACCTACCTCATTTGATCCCAAACATGCCAAAAATAAAACAATTAAATACTAGTTATATTATATTATTATGTTTAATATGAAAGCTTTCACCAAACATGCCAAAAATAAGATCATCCTTTTCCTTTATAAAAACTATTATGCAATAACACAGAAGGAAGTCCTCTCCGAAGACCTTTTGTTTTTTCTCTTCATTTCCATCCTATGGAAATAAACATTAGATCCGAAATTGAAAGATAAATAAACAAACAAGTTGTTTGAAACAGCATAAATAGGCTACTTTTCCCTTGAAGCAAGTAGAGCAATGTTTAGTAAAATGTATACAGACAGTAACAAGTTTGATTCTGGGACAACATTTGAAAGATAACCAAAAGAAGAAACCTTTCTTTGCAACTTGCAATCAACGGTGTACTACAGAAGGGCCCACAAACGCATATCGAGAAGAAACAGCTCCACCAGATCTGCTGTATTCACCCTGACCAATGTTTTGTTGCTGCTCATTAACCGAATATAACCTTTCTACTCTATCAGATAAAAATGTTTCCTGACGAAATCGCCCCTCGCTGTTTTCCACACTGATGTTGTCATATTGGTAAGAGGTGGAAGGATGAGGTGGCGGAGGCAGATAACGTTCCACCAAACTAGAGGTTGGTTCACACAAATATGGTTCAGACTGATACAAACCAAGGAGGGCAGGGGCAGGGGGAGGATTTGGAAATTTTATCTATTTTTGGCTTTGGAGTCTCATGTTGACGTTTAAGGCCGTATGTTCTATAGTCCTTTTCACTTAAAAAAAGGGTATTATCCTGATCGCCTCCAACTCCATAACTCCTACTATATTGTTGCCCGGGTAGGATCCTCCTGCCCGAATCATCTTCTCTTTCTTGACCGGTGGCTCTATTACTATATGGATCATACATAACTCCATAACCCCGATAATCATGTTCGGTCACCATATTTGGGTTTAGGAACTGCATGCTTTCTTGTTCAAGGATGACCGGATGATCATCTCGGGCAGCTTCTCTTTCTCTTTCTTGACCGGGACCGGGTCTATAAGGATCAGGTGGAGGAGCAGTGGTTAAGTTGTGGTGGTGGTGGTGGTGGTGCCTTTCGCCTCTAAGACCGTAACTTCTATACTCTTGTTCGGTCAATAAAAGCGGAGACTTTCTTTCTTGTATGACAAGAGGAGGTTTTTGTGGATTTGAATGTAACAATGGAGCTGGCTTGAATAAGTTTGTAAGTCTCTTTACCTAACACAAACCCCACCAAATTAGAAAAGCACATAACAGAGATAATGTGACAGAAATAAAATGGAAAAAAGAGACTCACTTGATCGATAGTTAACTCAGTCTTGAACTTGCGAGTTCTTTCATCATAACTCTCCCTAATAGCCTTCTTAAAAACACTCTCAGGTAGTGGAAGACAGTCTTTATAAACCTCAAAACGAACCTGTACCAGTTAAAATTTCATCAGTAAACAAAAATGAAGTGGGTAAGTTTTTTTTTTTTTTTTTTTTTTTTTTTTTAAATAGTAGAAGTGAAAAAGAACCTGAAGAGGAAAGGCCCCACCAAAAGCAGCTGGTTCAAGTTTCATGGCACCAGGTGAAGATGCAGTGTATATACCATATAAAAGCTTCACATCAAAATCAAAGAGAAACAGCTTCATACCAGGCTTGATCCCCATCACTAACTCTTTCTTGTGTGCTTGAACACCCATCACACGGTATCGATAACAATCTCCTTTTGTTTTTCCATTGCACATAAAGATAAATCCTCCAAGTTTTTTCGTGTCTTTATTTCTCTCATGATGAAACCCCTTTTTTGCACCTTCAGGTTTAGGGTTTTGGGAGTTTTGAGTTTCCTTGGTATTTTTTACTACTGGTTTAGATTCTTTATCAGGCGTCTTTTCAACATTTTCAGAGTTCTGTGCTTCCTTTGAACTAGAAGCAATAGGCTTCTCATCAGAGGCTTTATTCACAAATTTACCTTTATTCTTTTCAGAAGTTATAGTTTTCTTTTTCGAGGGTAACAAGGGTGAGCTAGATTCACCAAGTTTAGAGTTTTTATCAGAAGATTTCTTCACAATTTTGCTTTTAGCCTTCAAAGAATTTGGGGTTTTCTTTTTTATTGACAACGGGTGAGCTGGATTCAATAGGTGCAGATTTTTCAGTTGAGAACTTCTTCACAAGTTTACGTCTGTGCTTAATAGACTTTTGGACTTTCTCTTTTGAGGTCAACAATGGTGAATTGCTTTCGTTCTTTTGAACGATATTATTTTCTGATGACATTGTCTTCCAGACAAAAGATCGCAGTTTATATATGAACTTTAAGGGGCCACAAAACTATTCACTAAGAAAGAATGTCATCAGCATAAAACAACAAGACATAAAGAAAGACAACCTGCAACAATGAAGATTCATCGAAATATATCAGTATATACAGAAGCAAAAGAAAAACAGAAACATACATAGAATTCCAATTTCTAACTGATGGCTAAGCAGATGCATATGCAGTTTGATGTACAGAAGGCAATTAATTTCTGATTGTTTGAAGCATAATGACGCACGTATATTGAACTTTTGATACGATTATATTTCTAATTGACTAATCTCATTGTTCCATTAATACACTCAAATGATAATCGAAAGGGTTGACTTCAAGTTGACTAGCTGCTTATCGGAAGAGTGGAGGCCACTAAAGTCTAGATGCACATACGTCCATCTCATGCTTAAAACTTGGAACTTGGAAGCAAAGCAATTGATTTCCCCCAAATTTTGATGTTAATTTCCTAGATTGTTCCGAATCGTAGGATATAATGCCAAAAGACTTACCAAGGATATGCATTCAGATGATCTGATGATCATATATTCCATATGCTAAAACTGCAAATAACTGTTTAGATCTTTCATCTTAAGCCTACGTTCTCTCTCACTTTAACGCGTACACCTCGTCCGTCATTCAGATCATTGCAGCAGTTCAGAAAGTTACATCTACTTTTTATATCTCAAATCACAACCAACAAAAAATTTAAACGAATTCTAGCGGTCAGGAGAAGCAAATAAGAACAGAAAAACGAAACGGAGAACGAAATTGACGCGCAAATTATCTAAATTTACACATAAAACACATAATCAAATGAAGTCACATGATAACACGAAGAATTTAAAACAAATCAGTAGCTAAAACCTAAAATCGCTAACCTCAAGAGGACTGCTGCAACAAGGACTAGAATCCGGCGATGATGAGGCCGATCGAGATTCGCGAAGACATTATGAACCAACGGGGTACCTTTTATATCTCCTGGTAAGGCTACCAGGTACCATTTTAGATTTTACCCTAAAGGTAGTTCTTATATATATATCCTGGTAAGGTACCTTTAAAACATTTTTACTGTCTCATTTTTCCTATTAATACCCTATCAGTCAAAAAAAAAAAAATACTATTTTTTTAGAACATGTTTTTTCTTATTGCATTAATCATCTCATGTTTAGAGTTTTATTATATATATTTTAATTTATTACTTTTGATAAATAAAAATAGTATATAGATTGTTTGAAAAAAAAAAGTAATAAAATTATCGTTTAAACAAGTTTATAATTTATTTTAATGAGTCTTTTAGTTATACCACATCATTATTGTTTGATGAAAACAAGACAGATTATCCAAAATTCTTAATTGCTTGCCAAAAAATAGCCAAATTTTTTAAAAAATGACTCAAATAATCATTAAAATCACAGTTAGATCTTCATTAGTTGCGATTTCAGCATTTCTCTAATTTACACTTTTTGTCAACTTTAAACCTTTATATCTGCTCATACGAACTATACTGACCGGATTCTTTTTCATTATGTTTTTTGTAACAAGGGTTTCAATTGATAGTATTAAAATTGATATTTGAAAGCCCCCCTTCAAAGCTTCAAAGTAGGCATTGACACTACTAATTCATTTTTCTCATACTTTGACATTTTTACTTAGTTTTATGAGTTTATAGAAACTTTTCCTAACTTTAAACGTTCACAAAATTTTCATATGAACACAGATTAAGTTGATTCTTCTATATACATATTTCTTATTATGTCGACTGTGACATCCCCATTTTCACGGCCAGAAAATACCGATTTGTTTATGTTTTATTTTGAAAATCAGAGTATCTTTTTAAGAAATGTGTTGCGGAATTTGTTCCAAGAAAAACATGATAAATAGATTATCAAATCATTTCCGAAGAAATGTATATCATTCATTTTCAAAACATTGGGATGTCATCGTCAATACAGAAACATAAGCATAAACAGAACTTACATTCATTTACACTAGTGATCTACATCTCTTTTAAATCTCTCAGTGTAAAGTAGCTTCATATCGACACTTGTGATACAAATAAGCTTGAGTGGGTCAGGTTGGGAAACCTGGTGAGTACATAGGGTTTTCAACCCACAATAATATAATTATTATGTTTAAACATCAAACAATCAACCCAATTACCCATCCCCATTATCTTCTTTACTCTTAAGGGTCTACCCTAAGAATCAATTATTTCTCATTCATTTATTCCTAAGGATTATCCTAAGGAATAGGCACGAAATCCATTGTTGCCAGGGTTTACTCAACAGGCACTAAATCCATAGTTGCCAAGGTTTGCTCATCAGGCACTAAATCCATAGCTGCCAGGGTTATCTCGTTTATCGACAGTATCGTTTCCGAGAATCCACTCGCAATACATGTCAATGGGTTTTTAGAGTACAGCTGGTGAATACACAGTTCAAATAACACCTACAGGTTGCGAGCCTGCTAGTGTTCCATTGGACTGTCTAGAATAGTCTGTGGTTGTCATCCATACTCTGCTAGATGACGGGGCCAACACTTGGGTAAAAAGGCTTCTCTCATGGTTCACCTCTCACCCTTATCTCATGGTCTATATCACCTCTCATCATTTTGTTTTTGTCACACAGCAACTATTTCATCTACCATGTTTTACCCAACACATTTTGTAGATATAAAATACATATACAGTTTAAATCATTTAAAACATGTATAAAAATCTTTCACCCAGCATAGACGGCAAGTATACAGATAATATGCACATGTAGCACGTAATTTATATAAAATACTTCATATATATGTGTAAGATGAGAGTAACTATGCACTCACTTAAAAAGGTGGTGATTTCCGAACTCAGACAGCGCTTCGTTGTCTCAAAACAATTTTCCCTTGACAAAACCTAGTATCAATACCACTAGGGTTTAGTCTAACGTTAACCGCGACTAATTAATAGTCTAGCTATTATTACTATTATATAAGCGTTAAACAACAATCTATATAACTCATAATAATAGCCCAAATAATTATTTTAAGGTCCTAATAATGTTACTATAATTAACTAGAAGCTATATTAAAAATAGCGTAGGCGTAGCTCACTTACAGCAGGTTTTATAGAAAACCGGGCTTTGCTTGGAGCAGCGTTTCCGAACCGAAAGACCCTTTTTCTCGGGACCCCGGGAGCCTCGGGGCTTTCCTTCAGGTGCTAGGGGGTTTACCTAGGCTTAGGGGGGGTTAGGAACCTTAGAGAGTGAAAGAAACTAGAGAGAGAAGTGAGAAAGGTGCAAGAAAGTCGGCAGCCCTCGCAGCCCTTTTATAGGCGCCAGCCTTGGACGTACGTTGGGCGTAGTCCTTGGCTACGCGGGGCGTAGTTCGGATAAGGGTGCCAGGTGGTGCTCTTCGGATGGGGCTACGTGTTCACTTCTCGGACCACACAAGACCGAAGTACGCTGGGCGTACCCAGTTTCGGACGCAAGGCGTAATGCGAGGCGACGTGTCATCCATCCGAAGCGAGGCGTGATCAGCAAGCGACGGCCTAGATCATGTCACGTCATCAATTTCGCATCAGTCTCGCAATTTTCCATTCCGACTTCTAAAAATCATAACTTTCATATACGAGCTCCGTTTTCGACGTTTTTTATATCCACGCATAGGCGGGAACGTACTCTACAACTTTGGTTTAGACTCCGTCGGCTAATTTTGAATTTATTTTAAAAGTTATATTTTTAACAGGCCGGGGACAAGATTGGTTCGTTAAATATTCATAACTTCTTCATCCGACGTCCGTTTTCGTCTGTTTTTTTATCGTCACGCTACTATTAACGAGATCTTCGATTCTCGTTTAGGTTGTGTCGGCTAAAAACCGCTCGATCTAATATTCGAACTTCGAGCTGTACACTGCTAAGCCGAAACTTTGAAAAATCATAACTTCCTCATACGAAGTCAGATTTGGGCGTTCTTTTTATGGACGCTCTCGGTTTAACATATTCTACGACTTTCGTTTAGATCATTAAGTCTAAAAATCGCTCTATCGTAAATTCACTATTTACGCTTCCCGGTGTCGTGTTGGTTCCGTCGCGAAACTTCGACGGGTCATAACTTCTTCGTTATAACTCGGATTTCGGCGTTCTTTATATGTACGGAACCCTTGAGACATATTCTACACCTTGGTTAAGATTATTTATTCTAAATAATCTTTTGTCGAAAATTCGTTTTCGACCCCTATTATCTCTAAATTGACTAGCCCGGATCTACGGGCGTTACATCGACCACAAAATTCATTTAAAAAACTATTGAAATAGTCCCCATATCTCAGGTTATAAAGCTTCACAATAGGCTACTTAGTGATTTTTTGAAATTTCCAAATATCGTTATTTTTCACATAAGCTTCATGAAAATCTCTCAATTAATTTCAAACCACGCATATACTATTATTAATAACAACTTATACAATTCTATCCATGGTTCGTTTTTTTAATGTAAGCCCTTAAACTTATTTTTCTTTTTCAAGATTTTGAATGAGTTTTATGCATACACCAAGTGAAGATCATATGAATGCTAATTGGTCAGAGATAGAACAGATGGTAAGACTACATCAGGATAATTCAATTTCGTAGAGGGTAATTTTCTCACATTAAGAAGTAAGATGTAACGTCCGTTTTCTGGATAAGTTATTAATAAGCAATGTTATGGAAATGAGAAAATGGTGTTGGACTGAAAGTGAAAAGAGTGGTACGTCTATGGAATAACGTGGTGCATCATCCAAGTGGAAAAGCGTATGCGCGTCTATGAAAAAGCATGGTTCTTCGTTGCAACAACTCAAAACCCTATGTCTCAGGTTCTAGACCCTTTTTATACTTTTAGGGCTTGTCACTCTCCTCAACCTCCACCCCCAGAAGAGAAACCATAGCCTCCTTCCTCCCCTTCCTTGTGTTCTTGAGCTTTTTTTTTGTGATTCTTGGTAAAGATTGAAGCATTTGGTGTATTGTAAAGCTCGTTATAGTAGAAGATTCCACCGTTTAGACCAACTGCAAGCTTTATAAGTCTCAAAGTTTTCTGCTTTATGTTGTTCATGCTTAGATCCATGAATTGGATGAGTTTTGGCCTTTTTAGTGTTCATTTTATTGATGTTCTTGAAGTTTGGAGAACTCCATAACATTATGATTTTCCTTGGATAGTTTTTGGACATTTTTGGGTCATTTGAGTGCATTAAAGAACTATCTTTAAGCCATGCATAAGGTTTTGATTATTTTAGACCCTTTTTTTGTTAGGGTTTAGTATGTTGTTTGATTGAGCCATGGATCTAGATAAAATTGGGAACTTTATCCATTAAGACTCTTGTTTGATTTAGACATGAGAGTATGAGCCTTGGTCTTAAATGATTAAGCACTTTATTCCCATAAAATATGGTGCACGATCCCATAGACGCAACACATCGAGGGGCAGATTCATTACTGTTTTGTTTCTTAGTGGATGCAACGCGTCATGTGTTGGGCGTGGCGATTTTGGCCGCTGATCGTTGACTTTGACTAGTTGACCGTTAACCTTTTGACCAATTTGATTTTTAGTGGTGGTTAGACTAAGGTTGTACCTCTTCTTGGTTCTAGGTGGTTCATGATAGTTATTTATCCATCAGAGGCTTGTATGACTACAGTTGCTAGCATCGGGTGAGTTTTCTCACTAGATTATTATTGGAATAAGTGTCCAAGGTCATAACTAATTGGTCAAGGTCATGACTAAATTGATATAACTTTATGGAATAAAATTAAGGTCCTTTTTGGGTTGCCTTAATAACCATAAATAGCAAGAATTGATATTAAGAGAGATATAAAATGATTTGTTAATATATTATATGATTAAATATTAATTAGAAATAGTTAATAATTAATTTTGAATGAAGTAGAAATAGATGGAATTCATTAACTATTAATCAAAATTAATCTAAAATTAATTCGGGATTAATTACAATTAATTAAAGGCGTAAGGGGTGAATTGTAATTGTTTAATAGTTGAACAAAATGAACAATTCTAGAACCTCCTATAGGTGGGACTGTTTTAAGGGAGCTTCTAGGATTTCTAGAATCCTCCTTGTTGTTGATAAGGAAAAATTTTGAACTAGGATTAAATCTAATATTTAATTGTTCAAATCTGGATTTATCTGCAAGTCACCTAGACTATAAATAGGACCCTTGGGTCACCGAAATTTGTGGTCAATACCTTCTATGATGAGAAATATTTTCTTCTCATCATCTCTCCTTTCTCCTCTTCAAGTTCTAGTGTTCTAGGGTTTTGGGTGTGAGCCATAAGAGGCGTTCACAATATTGGCGCTTGCTTTCCATGGAATTTTGAAGATCAAAGGAGTTTAACATACTTTATTATGTTAAAGGTATGTATTCTTACTAGTAATTTCGATTATTATAGGCTAAAAGTTTTGGTTCATAAAGTATGTTGCTATTAATAGTGAAAAACCATAGATTTTTTAGGCTGCATGTACGCATAAGTGTTATGTGAAATTCCGCAAGTACATTGTTATTGTAACCTAAAAACCCCAACAATTATGTGTGACATTATATGTCATTGATTTTTAGGTGGTCTGTATGACTTTTATAGGAAATACTATAATAATGACCCAAAATTTTCTCATCTAGTTATCTAGGGATTATTGGAGTTTTCTAAGCAAATGCGGAATTATAAATCATAAAAACACTTTACATCCCAGGGTATAATTGGGTTTACAATAAAAAATAACTAAAATATAAACAACAAGGGACTATCAAAATTAAAACTACTTCTAGTCCAAGTTTTTGTGCTCCTACCTCCTCTCATACAACGACTATTGCATGCACTTTCAAAACATGGAAGAATCTACAACATCATACCACAGTTCTAATGAGTTATACTTTAATCTATTTTCATGTATTTATACTATATTAATCTATTTTTCTTCCATTTCTCTTACTCTATCTCACGTCAAGCTTTCTCATATCATTCCTTCTTCTCATCTCATCTTTTTCCTTTCGTTCCGATCTATTTCATATCACAATATTGTCCGTTTTGGGCTCCCTGCACGAAAACTTCCCAGGGGGTCTGTAACGCCCGTAGATCCGGGCTAGTCAATCTAGAGATAATAGGGGTCGAAAACGACTTTTCGACAAAAGATTATTTAGAATAAATAAT